TTTTTTTTTTTTTTTTTTTTAATGTGGTGCTGAGGATCAAACCCAGTGCCTCACACATGCTAGGCAAGCACTCTACCACTGAGCTACAAATTCAGCCCCTAAATATTTGTCTTTCAAGGAATTTTTAGTAGGGGTAATCCAAAGAATTTTAGGGTAGAGTTTTTGGTTTTGGTTTCTTTGTTTTTGGATAGAGAATTTTAAAGTGAAAGTTGGGACATGTCAAAAGTCCACAAAGAGTAAGATCATTTWGAATTCTGCCAGTGTTTGTGTCATTAACTTTAGATTACAGGGTGCATRAAAGGGATCTCTTCTCATTCTTGGCTGTTTACTTTTGTTATAGGTTCGTATTCAGGAGACTCAAGCTGAGCTTCCCCGAGGAAGTATACCCCGCAGTTTAGAAGTAATCTTGAGGGCTGAAGCTGTGGAGTCAGCTCAAGCTGGTGACAAATGTGACTTTACGGGGACACTGATTGTCGTGCCTGATGTCTCCAAGCTTAGCACACCAGGTGGTAATCTATGGCTCAAATTTAACAAATTCTTGGTTACCTGAACTGCAAGGTATTCAACTTCTCTTCTTTTTGGCTGCCAATCAAAGGAGAAACAAGAAAGTGTGAGAATAAAAAATTGATTTTCCTACAATATTGGCTATTCTGAATGTTTCCAAAGTTTAAAAGAAAATCATATTTATATCTGATTTATATGAGCAGTATTAGTTCCCAGCACCTATAGTATTTGAAATGGCCTATCATTTAATCTTTCAGGAGCACGTGCAGAAACGAATTCCCGTGTCAGTGGTGTTGATGGATATGAGACAGAAGGCATTCGAGGGCTCCGGGCCCTTGGTGTTAGGGACCTGTCTTATAGGCTGGTCTTTCTTGCCTGTTTTGTTGCACCAACTAACCCAAGGGTGAGTCTTTTTTGCATGCTGGAGATTGAACCCAGGGTCTTGCTAGKCAAATGCTCTTAACACTGAGCTACATCCCTCATGGTGAATCTTAATAAAATGCCAGAGCTTGACAAAGAGCTCGCTTGAGGCTGCTGCAATTTAATATGCTTCTAAAACATCTGAGTTATCTAGTCAGTATAAAAGTCTAAAGGGTTGGGTTGATGTTGATTCTTCAGTATTAAAACCAAATCTTTTCGGGGCTGGGGATGTGGCTCAAGCGGTRACACGCTCACCTGGCATGCGCTGGGTGCTGGGTTCGATCCTCAG